ATTCAATTTGTTAATCCAACAATTCCTTTCCCTCCTTTTTAATCCTAATCCTTAATCTTAATATATTGTAACATTAGATTTTTACATATTAAAAACCAATTTTTCCATATTCTTTTGTACCTATACAGCTAGAAACCACTTAACCTCAATCCAACATCATTCTAACATTCATTAATTTTGCAATATTTCTGTAAATAGTCTTTAAATTTCTTCCAATCTTCTTCCACCGACTCTTCTCCTGGTCACGGATTCTGCCAGTCATTTCTGCCAATTCCATATAGTCCATTAATTTCATCTGCCATTCCTCCAGTGTGGGTAAATCTTGTGTCTTCCAATGCTTTGCAATGAGTATTCTTGCTGCTGTTGTAGCATACATAAAAAAAGTTCTGTCCTTTTTTAACACCGATTGGCCGACTACGCCCAGGAGAAAGGCCTCTGGTTTCTTCAAGAAGGTATATTTAAATACCTTTTTTAGTTCATTATATATCATCTCCCAGAAAGCCTTAATCTTTGGGCACGTCCACCAAAGGTGAAAAAATGTACCTTCAGTTTCTTTACATTTCCAACATTTATTATCAGGCACATATTATCAGTGCAAACCTAACGTATCATATTGCGCTTGGCCTAATTCACAAATTACCCCACACCCTTGATGGGGGTTGCCATGGGAACATTAGGTAGAAAATAACTCCAGGTATTCTATACGAGGCAGTTTTGCTTAACTGAATTGTGTGGATGTTTCAGTTCTATGTTGGTTGCCTGTTGCTAAATTTCCTGGATTGTTCCTAATTAACGATAAGCAATGTCAGTTTTCTGTGTCTTCTGCAGGTGCTCCGCAAGTATGGCATTGACTTGTCTGAAGAGGAGTTCTTCCACATATTGGAATATTATGACAAAGGATTAACTTCCAAAATCTCCTACAATGAATTCCTCAAAGCATTTCTGCATTAAAAAGAAAAGAAAAGAAAAAGGAAGCCTGCTCTCCAATCTTGAAGAATCATTAGGCAGGAGAGATGTGATTACTGAAATATATGTCCTCATTTTAATCTAATAAAACTATATAAATTCACCCCCTTGGTTAACAGTGTATCAGCAATCTTATAATTCATTCGCAATGCAAACTGGTGATGGTGTCTGGTGAAGTAAATCTTCAGTAGTTGGGGCTATTAATTTTCTCATAATCCATTTAGCAGGGAAAACTGAAAACAATTAAAGTGACGGTTTTGAGGTTCTTAATTGGCATCTCGGAAAGCAATAACTTTATTTTTTCAATTAAAGGGCATTATTAAGAAAAGGAACTTTTAATTTATATTTTAAAAGGCACACTTCTCAATTTTATTTGCTGCCATTTTCTAAATGGATTATACCTAATGCAATTTTCTTCATTATTCTGAAATTGGAAGCCTCAGAATTCAGTGGCAAAAATCCAGCAGAGTTAGGTGGGCTCACTGAAAATTTTTAGGCACAATTCCAAGTGCCAGTCCTAATTTGTAAAGTCCTTAAAGAACTTGGGGCCTGTATAGATAAGAAGTAACATCCAAATGCCCTTATTAAAGCTCAAACTGCATGTTTATCAGCAGCCCAGATCCTTGAAGCTGAGACTTTAACCCAAGTGGCCAGGGGTGATTTGAAGCAAGTTAAGTGGTGGGCATTTTATGAAGAAGAGACTTGGGACACGAGATCCAGATGAGATTCAGCATGAAGGAATCCATGCTAGCTAATGTAAAATCAGCTGGTTTGGAAGGTTTTTTTTGTACAATATTGTTGGAATTCAGCCCCCTCGTAAGTTATCAGTTTTAGAATTAAGCAAATGATTCTTGCTGGAGATGCAAATATGTTGCATCTGTCCAGTAATGCATTCTTTTTGGACCAATATGTTGGATCCGATTAAGGAAGTGGCCAGCTGTTCCAATAATACAGCTTCCCAGAATAGTGTTATTACGTTCTCTTAAGGACTTGGCTGGTGGCATCAATCAAGTTGTTGTAAATTTACTTACAGCTGTAAAAATGTGCATAGCAGCAAAATGGAAGAAAATAATCACTCCATTGATAGCTGAATATGGTAGAATATGGAACACAACAAAAATTAACCCAGTAGAAAATTGATTAAAGGAGAACAGAAAAACAAGTTCATTGAAATATATTTGCAGTTTTTAATAATAATAATAATAATAATAATAATAATAATAATAATAAACAACTTATACCCCTCACATCTTACTGGGTTGCCCCAGCCACTCTGGGCAGCTTCCAACACATAAAAACATAATATAACATCAAACATTAATAGTAACAATCTGATCCAATGTAAAAGTCACAATAACTTTAAAATAGCATCTTATATCAAACAAAGCAACATTCAGCAATACATCAGAATCTAATAGTACCATAAATATCAGAATGTACATTTTATTTTATTTACTGTATAGAATTCCTTTATTTTTCTGTGTTTATATTTTGTGCCTCTTGATCCATTCTGTATAATCCAGTTTTAAGTTTGTATCATGCTAAAAATGAGCAAGAAGAGTTTGCTTTTGTCTATGATTCTGCAGGCATTTTCCTCTATTATTATTATTATTATTATTATTATTATTATTATTATTATTAAATTATATTTGTATATCACCCTTCATCCAAAAATCACAGGTTGGTTCACAACATAGAAATACAAAATGAGAACAGAAACTACATAATAAAAACAAAAAAATTTAGGGAAGTTTTTAATGTTTGAAGTTTTATTCTGCTTTTAATGCTCTGTTGAAAGCCACCCAGAGTGGCTGGAGAAACCCAGCCAGATGGGCGGGGTAGAAATAATAAATTATTATTGGTTTGTTTTTAATAATAATAATATAACAACCCTTCCCACAAACACATTTTAAGGGAAATGTTTTCAACTGGTGTCTAAAGATATATAATGCAGGCACCTGGCGAGCCTCACTAGGGAGAACATTCCATAAACGGAGCCACTGCAGAAAAGGCCCTGCTCAGGTTGCCACTCTCCTAACCTCTCACAGGGAAGACACATGATGAAAGGCCTCAGATGATGACTGCAGGAGCGGAGGTGCTTCTTATGGGGAGAGGTGGTCCTTAAGGTATTCCTGAGCCATTTAAAGCTTTGTAGGTCAAAACCAACCTTTTTAATTGGGCCCGGAAACTAATTGGTAGCCAGTGCAGTTGGACCAGGATCAGTGTAATATGCTCAAGACCGTCTTGCTCCGGTGAGCAACCTGGCCACTGAATTCTGCACCCGCTGATGTTTCTGAACCGTCTTCAGAGGCAGCTCAAGTATAACGCATTGCAGTAATCTAACCTTGAGGTTACCAGAGCATAGACAACATTAGTTAGGCTATCCCTGTCCAGATAGGGGCGTAGCTGGGCCACCAGCCGAAGCTGATGGAAGGCACTCTGGGCCACTGAGGCCACCTGAGCCTTGAGTGACAGCAAAGGATCCAGGAGGACCCCCAGGCTACGAACCTGATCCTTCAGGAGAAGTGTAACCCCATCAAGAGCAGGCAACCTCCTACCCCTCTGGTCTAGGGAACCCCCCACTAACAGTGCCTCAGTCCTATCTGTGTTGGCTCACAACTTGAGTTGCATGGAAAGAAGATATTGCAGCGCTCCAAATTATTTGCCCATGTAGGTGCAGAGAAATTAGTAGAGCTGATTGAAAAGCAACACATTAAGATCTGCATTTTTCCTTCTATGTTTTAGTTGTTATTTTTATCTGTAAGCCACCTTGAGCATAAATAAATTAATAATAGTAGTACTAGTAATTATTATCATTATTTAGACAACTTATTTGCAAGTCTCTCAAAATCAGGAGGGTCTTTTTATCTGACTGTGAATGTTCAGATCTGCCAAATGTAAAAGTTTGCTATAAGCATTCAGTTCAGTTCTGAATTAATGCTCTGGGAAAATGCTTAATTCTTTTTTTAAAAAAATATGGAAAGGAAGCATGCAAGAATCCACAGATCTGAGTAAGTAATATTGAGGGAGTAATTAGAATTCTGAATATTAATAAAAGCTTTTAAAATCCTTGTAACCTTTTATGTTTAATCCTCATTTGAAAACAGCTCTCAAGTTATTCCTTTTTATAGCATTTCTAATATTCTTTGGTCTTGGTAAAATTCTGCCCTTTAAGTGCAATGTGCTTCTTCTGTGTTTTGGGATTACACAATGATGATAAAATAATTAATATACCAATCTTTGCAATCAAGAGCTGATCCATTTTTAACCACTACTACCCCGTATCTGGAGCTGTTGTGCAAAGAATGAAAACTCTAATTTCACATTAACTAGTAGGGAAAAATACAGCAGTTATATTTTTTCTCCCAAATGCAATAATTAGATCAGATGGAAGATAAGCACCCCTCCCCCACAGAAGCTTCCTCCAGCTCCTGCACTGCATTATTCCATGTCTTGCAGCTCCAGTAATTCATGCACAGTCGTCAAAATAGCAATGTTCGCTTCATTCTTCCAATTGTCTTTAGGATATTGGGTGGTGTAAGAAGAAGCAACGCTGTGGGGGAGGAGAGGCGGGTATCGCACAATTTCTTGGCACATCATGGCAGCGTATTTTTCATTAGTGCTACTGGCAGGAGGACTTGACTTAACAACTCCAAAGGGATTAAAGAACAATATTTTTGCTGTAGAAACAAATCAAATCATGCAGCTTTCATTCTCTCTCTCTCTCTCTCTCTCTCTCTCTCTCACACACACACACACACACACACACACACACACACAACACACGGCATGGATAACAATTGCCAAACTGTTTTATCCGGCCTTGGGGCAAGAGAGGGGAGAGAGAATGTCACTGTATTTCAAATGATAGCATTTTGAAATATCCTGGATAACACAGAAAACACCCACTGTTTACAGGCTCAACTTTCATAAATCGATAAGGATTGTGCAAGGAGAAGATAGAGTTTTCCTTCCCCTGTTGGTGTGTTCAGAGTAAGAATATTGAACATGTCAGAGCTGGCTCCAGGTCCCAGCTCACAGAGGACCAACGCTAGCCGGCAGTAATGTGCAAAAGTCTTTATTGAAGTACAGTTTCCATTTTCAAGCCGGAGCGCCCCAGCTCTACGTCTAGGGGTTAGATCGGCGAAGCTCCATCTGAGTCTCCGCCCCCTGTACACCAGTTTAAGATTCTAGCCTTACTCCACCTCTTACGTCTCTCCTTTCTCCTCTGGGTCCTGCTACCCCCCTGGGTCCCTTCCTTCCTGGATTCTTCTGACGCTGACCCTCCTGACTCCTCCCCCTCTTTTCGGCGGGCTTTGGGACCTGGCTCCCTATCCGGGCTGCCAACTGCGCCGCCCTCCTGTACATTTGAACTTGGCGCGCGCGCCCAGCCTTCAACCTTCCTCTCGACCGTTTCCTCGCTCCCCGATGGAGGCGTGGCCAATCCTGACTCATGTCCTCCCACTGGCAGTGCGCCGCCTGATCCCGATGCCTGGGACTCCTCCCCCCCTACTGCACTCTGGTGTGGACGCTGGTCCTGATTTCCAACTGCTGCTCTCTGAGTCCCCTCTGGCCCCTTCTTCCTGGGGTGTCCCCTCGGCACCCCCTTGCTCTGACCAAGGGAGCCCCTTTCTGTGAATCTTCCGATTCGCTGGAAAGACTCAGAGACCTCGGACCGCTGTCATCGCTAACATTTCCTTCGGACTCCTCCCCCTCGCTCTCTATTTCCTCCCTTTCCTGTGCCTCTGCTCCTGAACCCCTGACATCCATGCCCCCCGCGCAGGCCCCCTTCCCCCTCCCCTCCTTCAGGTGTGGGTACTGGGTGCTCCGTCGTTGTGGGGGTGAGTGCCGGATACAGTTCGTCCCCCGTGGCGTGCATCCAGCCGGATAAGTCCGGCTCGTCCTCCGTGCTCTCGCCGACCTCAATTTCCTCTGCTTCCATCTCTTTGCCGCCGTGCTCGAACCCAAGGTCCTCCCCCAACACGTCCATGTCCGTCTCTCCCCGGTCTCCTCCGGGGACGTTGCCTGCCAAGGACCCCCCAACCACTTCCTGCGCCACTGCTCCTCTGGTTGATTGTCCCACCAATAGGAGCGGTCTGAGGCAGACCCCGAGGGTGATCCCTCCGGGGAACGTGTTTCTAGTGCCGGTTCCTCGTCCGAGGTGAACCCCTGGAATGTGCTAGCTGAAAATGTGGGTGTGAAAAGCCAGTCGTCGAAATACTCGGCTGGCATGGGCCTGTGTGGGAAAAGGGCATGGAACTCGTCCTTAAGCCAAGATTCCTCCAGAGCATAATCTGGCACCCAACTGTTGGCGCTAGCCTTCCTTGGCGAGGAGGTATTCCACTCCCTCCTCGCCCATCTCGAGTCTAAAATCTCTGTGACTTCGTTGACGGGTTCCCGCCTTGGCGACCCCCCCCTTGTGGGCGTTTCCCTGAACGGGTCTGGTGCCGTTCCTGGCTCCTGAAATCTATGAGGTGCTTTGTAGGGCGTGAGCACTGATCTATGGAAAACTGGGTGCATTCTGGATCCCTCCGGCAGTGTCAACCGGAAGGCCACTGGATTGACCTGTGCCTCGACTTGGTAGGGTCCTAGCTGCTTATGCCCTAGCTTCTTCTTCGCTAACGATCTGGCCGGCACTGCCTGGGCTGCTAACCAAACCCAGTCTCCCACCTGTATGTCTTCCCCAACCCTTCTGTGCTTGTCAGCCTGCAGTTTGTATGCGTGCTTTGCTAGTTCTAACTGCCTCCGAAGCTGTTCGTGAACCTCCTGCAACTCTGATGCTAAGGCTTCCGCTGCCTGTGGCTCCCCCTCCCCTCTCTCGCTAATCCCGGGAAGGTTCTGGGATGCCTCCCGTTGTTGGCGAAGAACGGTGTCACCCCCGTGGACACGTGCTTCGTGTTGTTGTAGGCGAACTCAGCGAGCGGCAGGTAGTCCACCCATGTTGCCGGCTGCTGATTTGCGTAGCATCTCAGGTACTGCTGCATGATGGCGTTGACTCGCTCCGCTTGTCCGTTCGTCTGCGGGTGTCTCGCCGACGCTAGGTTGATCTTGACGTTCAGGAAACCCATCAGCTTCTGCCAGAAGTTCGAGATGAACTGTCGCCCCCGGTCGGACAGGATAGACCGTGGCAGACCGTGAACCCTGAACACGTGGTCTATGAACAGTTTGGCGGTCTGTTCCGCCGTGGCCACCTTCGCGCACGGAATGAAGTGGGCCATTTTGGTGAACATGTCCACCACCACTAGCACTGCCGTCTTGCCCCTCGAGCTGGGTAGATCCGTGACAAAGTCCAGGGCCACCCTCTCCCACGGTTCGAGCGGTGTCTGCAGCGGTTCGAGCAGTCCCGCCGGCGGTTTGTGCACTGACTTGGCCCTTTGGCAGGTGTCGCACCTCGAGACGTAATCCGCGACTTCCCCCGCATCTTGGGCCACCAAAAATCTCTGGCTACTAATTCTACCGTCTTCTCTTTGCCAAAGTGCCCGGCGGTGGGTGCGTCGTGCAACTGCTGCAGTACTTTCGCGCGGAGGTCGTCTCCCGGTACGTAGAGGGCCCCTCTGCGGATGAGCAATCCGTCGCGTATCTGGAACTCGTCGTCCTCCGCCGTGCCCCTTTGCACCTCTGCCATCTTTGCTTGCGCGAAGGGGTCCTCCTGCAGTGCTCGACGTACAGCATCCAGGTCCACGGTTGCTGAAGCGCACGCCCACGCTTTCGGTGCGAAAATGTGCTTGGCCGCTGCTGGTGCCGCCTCCTCGAGGTATTGCGGCTTTCTGGACAGTGCATCCGCCATGATGTTGTTGTCGCCTGGGATGTACTCTATCCTGAAGTCGAAATCCGCAAAGAACTCCGCCCATCGTATGTGCCTCTGGTTCAGGAACCTTGCCGTGCGCCAGTACTCCAGGTTTTTATGGTCCGTGCGGACCTGCACTGTGTGTTTGGCTCCAATGAGGAAGTGCCGCCACGCCTTGAATGCTGCATGAATGGCCAGCAACTCCCTGTCCCAGATGGTGTAGTTCTGCTCTGACTTGCTGAGCTTCCTGGAGTAGAAGGCACACGGTCTCCAGTCCCCATGCGGGTCTTGCTGCAACAGTACTGCTCCCACGGCTCTGTCTGAGGCGTCCGTTTCAACCCTCATCGGTCTGCTGGGATTCACATGCAGTAGCTGCTCTTCGGACGAGAAGAGACGCTTGAGTTTCTGAAAGGACTGTTCCGCTTGCTCCGTCCAGATGAACTTCTTCTTCTTGGAGCTGAGTGTGTCGGTAATGGCTGCCGTCTGCATCGCGAACCCCTTGATGAACTTGCGGTAAAAGTTGGCGAAACCGACAAACCGTTGGACCTCCTTCCGATTGCGCGGGCTCTTCCAGTCCAACACTGAGCGAACCTTGGCGCTGTCCATGGCGAGCCCCTTGTCCGACAACTTGTAGCCCAGGAAATCTACTTCCTTCATGTCGAACTGGCACTTTTCCAGCTTGGCGTACAGCCTGTGCTCCTGCAGTCTCTGCAGAACTTCCTTGACGTCTCCCTCGTGGGCCTCCTCTGATTCTGAAAATATCAGGATGTCGTCCAGGAAGCAGACGCATTTCTTGTAGAGGAGACCCGCCAATACGTGATGCATGAAGGCTTGAAAACAGTGGGAGCCATTTTGTAATCCAAAGGGCATAACTCTGTATTCATAGGTGCCCAGGGGCGTGAACATGGCAGTCTTCCATTCGTCGCCCTCCCGCATGCGAATCAGGTTGTACGCCCTCGCAGATCCAACTTTGTGAAAACGCGTCCTTTCCTCACCGTTGCGAGCAGGTCATCTATCTTGGGCATGGGAAAGGCTGTGGGCTTGGTTTTTGAGTTCAAAATTCTATAGTCCACCACAAGCCTTTTTTGGGGCGTGTCCTTCTTCTTCACAAAGAATACAGGACTGCCCCCCACTGCCTTCGACTCCCGGATGAAACCGCGCTTCAAGTTGAGGTCTATGAACTCCCTGAGTTCCTGCAGCTCGTCTTCGGACATGGAATACAGTTTCCCGGTTGGCAGCGTCGCCCCTGGCAGGAGGTCAATCTTGCAGTCATAAGACCTGTGGGGAGGTAGCTTGTCCGCTTCCTTCTCGCAGAAAACCTCCAAAAACGCTGCGTACTTGAGTGGCACTGCTTGCAGCGTGCCTAATTGTAGCTGCGGGTCATCCTCTTCCCCTTCCGGGCTAGGCAGAATGCAATGTTCCGCACAGTATGAGGAGCCGAAGGTCAGTTGTCGCTGGTACCACGCCAATGCTGGGCTGTGCCTGTGCAGCCAACTCATGCCTAATACTATAGGCGTGTCCGACAGTTGGGTGACATTGAAGCTGATGACTTCTCGGTGATTCCCAATTTGCATCACCATCGGAGGCGTTTGCTGCACCACCTGCACCCCCCAGCAATTCCCTGCCATCCACCGTGACAACTTTCAGAGGCAGCGTGGCTGGCAGGAGTGCTATGTTGTGCTCTTGAAGGAAATCCAGTCCTATGAAGTCTGCGTTACTACCAGAGTCAATGGTAATCGGCACTTCCATAGTGAGTCCATTGGGTAGTTGGAGCGATGCTGTGAGCTGCACCACTGGTTTGGGCGGGAGGGGGTCTGTGGGCTGCAAAATCTCTGGGGACGGCTTCATTGACTTGTCTGGTTGGGCCCCAGTGCCTCTTCCTCCAACCAGACTCTGTCGTTTCCCTGCTGTGTTTCTCTCTGCTGAGTTGCTTCTGTTACTGTTGCTGAGGCTGCAGTGTGCTTGTGGAGCCTCTGGGGACACTCTTTCGCCATGTGCTGAGCACTGTCGCAGATGTAGCACTTCCTGTTCCCTCTAGGAGGCTTCGCTTTGACTGCTCCCGGTGTTAAGGCTCTGGTTGTTGACTGAGCCCTGGCGCCTCCAATCTCCATCGGTTGCTCTCCCCTCCTTGCGGAGGTGGGGATTGCACACGCGCTGTATCCTTGGGAAAGAGGGAGGTGCTCTCACTGGCGTACGTCCCCAACGTCCTTCTTCTCTGTTCCATGGACGTTCTTCCAGACGCACCCCAATTTGCAGCGCCCGCCGGACAACCTCCTGAGTGCTCTTTGGTCTCTCCCCCCTTGCAATCTCATCTTTCACATTTGCATTCAAGCCTTCCCAAAAAAAGGTCTCTGACTGGGGCAGAATCCTTCTCCCATCCCAGCGCATGGACTAATGCAAAAAAGCGGGAATGGTACTGCCTTACACTGGCTCTGCCTTGTTTGAGCCCATGTATGTCTTTTCTGGCGATATCAATGTCTATATTTGATAAAAAACACGAATCCATCGCTTTAATGAATGCATCCGCATTTTGGAGCGCCGGATCCTTATCTCTCCACAGATTGCGCAGCCACGCTTTAGCTTCCCCATGCAAATGGGACAAGATAAACCCCACCTTCTCTTGCTCATCTCTAAAGTCTTTATCCAGCAGTTCCAGCGCAAACAGCACGTCTGCTCGGAAGTTAGGGTACTGCTGCAAATTCCCATCGAAATGAGATACCAGGCTGCCTCCTCTTTTCCCCAGCCCAATCCCCTCTGATTTGGGTCCCGGTTGCCCCTGCTTAGCAAGCACTTCCAACCTGGCTTGGAGATCCCTGCAGGCGGCAGCCGCTTCCTCTTCCCTTTTCCTGGATGCGAGTACCTCCGCGTTGAGTTGTGTCACTGCATTTTGCAGGGCTGCTAGTTGCTGTTCTGTAGTCATCTTGCCTGACTTTTGTGAGCTCGCAAAGCACCAATCTTCTTCCCTCGCTGCGTCCACTCACGTTACGAGGTTTTGGTGCAAAACTTTATGAGATGGAGCTTACTGTCAGAGCTGGCTCCAGGTCCCAGCTCACAGAGGACCAACGCTAGCCGGCAGTAATGTGCAAAAGTCTTTATTGAAGTACAGTTTCCATTTTCAAGCCGGAGCGCCCCAGCTCTACGTCTAGGGGTTAGATCGGCGAAGCTCCATCTGAGTCTCCCCCCCTGTACACCAGTTTAAGATTCTAGCCTTACTCCACCTCTTACGTCTCTCCTTTCTCCTCTGGGTCCTGCTACCCCCCGGGGTCCCTTCCTTCCTGGATTCTTCTGACGCTGACCCTCCTGACTCCTCCCCCCCTTTTCGGCGGGCTTTGGGACCTGGCTCCCTATCCGGGCTGCCAACTGCGCCGCCCTCCTGTACATTTGAACTTGGCGCGCGCGCCCAGCCTTCAACCTTCCTCTCGACCGTTTCCTCGCTCCCCGATGGAGGCGTGGCCAATCCTGACTCATGTCCTCCCACTGGCAGTGCGCCGCCTGATCCCGATGCCTGGGACTCCTCCCCCCTACTGCACTCTGGTGTGGACGCTGGTCCTGATTTCCAACTGCTGCTCTCTGAGTCCCCTCTGGCCCCTTCTTCCTGGGGTGTCCCCTCGGCACCCCCTTGCTCTGACCAAGGGAGCCCCTTTCTGTGAATCTTCCGATTCGCTGGAAAGACTCAGAGACCTCGGACCGCTGTCATCGCTAACATTTCCTTCGGACTCCTCCCCCTCGCTCTCTATTTCCTCCCTTTCCTGTGCCTCTGCTCCTGAACCCCTGACAGAACACAACAAAACAAAGGCAATCTATTGCCAAAATGTAATTCTGTAAATGCAAAAAAATGAAGCCCGGCAGGTCTCTTACATGACAAGACTCCAATCTTCCAAATGGTTACTTGACAAAGTTTGCCCATATTGCAAGTTCTGTGCCCATACTCTGCCCCCTCAGAGGTCTGTAGGATTGCCAACTTCTGATTTTAGAAATACTGGTTCTCCAGGCAGAAGTAGGTTATTTGGTATTATTTGCTTAGGCAGAACCACCTCAGAATATAATGGATTAAGTGGGAAGTAACAGGTCAGGGATGGTGTTCAGGACAATATGTGGTGGATCAGAAGTGGAGGACAGCCAAACTGCAGCAAAAACGTTGAGTTGATAAGGGCTTGGGACCTCCATAGTGTGCTTTTGAATATCAGTACTGGTTCCCTGACAGAACATGATTTTTCTAGTTAACTCAACAAAACATTGGGTAGTTGGCACAGCAAAAAAAGTCAGAGGTAATGCAAAGTGGTAGTCGGAGATGTAATAAAATAAAACGGAGTTTCTAAGTAAGAGAGAGCTATTCAGCTCATTACAGAGAATGAGATGCAGGGATGCTTGACTCCACCCATTCAGACGGCAGAAGATTCTTGATAGTAACCATTTGGAATGCTCCCCTACCTTAAAAAAATTTAAAAAAATAAAAACTACAGCCATGCAGTCAATTAATACATGTCTCATATCTGAAGAAGTGTCGTATCTGAAGAAGTGTGCATGCACACAAAAGCTTATACCCAGAACAAACTTAGTTGGTCTCTAAGGTGCTACTGGACAATTTTTTATTTTTTATTTTTATTCCTAAATATGTCAGTTTACTACATAGGGAAGCATTCAAAACCATGTCCTCCCTAGTTTCTACAGTACAGTTAAGAATTTGACTACTTCGTTCCATACAATGTGTAAAATAGCTTTCCAGATTAGCATTCTCTGAATATTTGAAAAAAGGAAGAAGAAAAAAACACCCCCACGAACAGTCAAACATTAAAAGCTGCAGCGACTTTCCAATACTCTCTCATCACTAAGGGCCCCTTTTCGAAGTTCTCCCTGAAATCTCCTGCTCCTTGAACAAAGAATGATTGGTGGTGTTTTTGTTTCTTTAATTTGAATGCCATAGGTTGGCAAGAAGCAAGGCAATTTGGGCTGCAGGAGTTACTCTTTGTATCCCACCCGCCCGCCATGGGGTGCACAGGGATGGGTTATCCAACTTCCTCCTCACCTCAACCCTGTGATGTAGCTTCAGCTGAGGCAAAATGGGGATTTGTACAGTCATACCTCATGTTACGTTTGCTTCAGGTTGAGCGTTTTGAGGTTGCGTCCCGCGGCGACCTGGAAGTACCAGAAAGGGTTAATTCCGGGTTTTGCCGCTAGCACATGCGCAGACGCTCAAAATGACGTCACGCTCATGCACAGAAGCGGCGAATCACGACCCGCACAGATGCGCAGACGAGGGTTGCGTTCTGCTCATGTTGCGAACGGGGCTCCGGAACGGATCCTGTTCGCAACCAGAGGCACCACTGTACTCCAGTCTCTGTACATGCCTGCCTGCCTGCAATATTTCAGTTTCAGATGTTTATTTGGGGTACACACAGGGTACTGGGTGTTTTTTCTCTTGAGCGATGACCAGGTGGTCACAACTTGAAAAGCACGGTGAGGAAGGAGCCATTCATGTATCTATAGACACAAAGTGCAGCTCTCATCATTTGTGATTCCCCCCTTCCTGCACAAAGGCTGTCATCCCATGGATAGCTTATTATTATCTCAAGTAGACACAAAAGGAATTTTGTATTATGTTAATACTTAAAATATGCTAATTTGATGTCTTCACTGTATATCCCCACAAAATAAGCTTGACATGAATTCTCTGTAACAATACAAAATATCACCATCTTCAAATAAGCAGATACAACACGCTGTTAAAATTACTGTAAAAACAGCCACATCACTGTTTCTGGAGCATCTCTGATTTTTAACAGCATCCTAGAAGAGTTTATTCTTCTTGTTTGCATTTTAAATGACGCTGGCTGGACAATGAATATCATCATGGTAAAACATCTAAGAGGTTTTACTACAACCAAGCAGTAGATACATTTTGTTAAATAAAAATTAAAAAGGTTTCAGAATATTCTTTTTAGCGAGCATGATGCATATTTAACTGCCTTTCAATAGGGCGCTGTTACAATGGCGGCACCAGATTTTGCACTACTGATTTGTATGCGTGAAATTTGGCTGAAAACAATGTTTTGTTCAGTTTGTAACTGAGAGTGTGAGGATCCAGATGCAGTTGTTGATTATCTTGGCAAACAGGCCTTGAGTTTAGAATATACGGCTGGGTTAAATACCAGGATCAATGCAGTGTAATATCCAGCCCAATCAGGCCCTTGTTAGGCTTAATTATCTGAGAGTATCTATCATGTGCTCCTTATAATATGCTGTCACATTCATGGGCACCACTGAGCGTCAAACTACATATGATGCACAAGACTCATGATCACATCTCCAGATGTCTTTTCTGAAATATAAAAGCAGCTTGGGCTGGGGGCTGTAACTGCTCCCCACATGTGGTTTTGCCCACTAAGAATTGGGAAAATTGGGGGAGGGGGATTCCCTGCAATGCTGTTATTCCCCAGGGGAAGATTAAGACAAGCAGCATATGGGGCCATACTGCCTTCCTCCACATCACTGGGGCAACAGGGGGTGATTTGGAGCAGGAAAATGTTACAAGTGGAAAGGGATAAACACCCTCTCCTTCAGGGTCTCCACCCCATCCTGTACCTCCACCCCCAGCAACTACATCAACAGTATTGGAAGATCTGGCCCTTGGCGCTCCCAGGCCATGCGTAGTTAGGCCCTGAGTGACTGGCTAACTCACACTTTCACAGGATTACTAAAATTGGGACCTGAATTTGGATATTCATATAGCTGAAGACATCCTTCTTCTTTTTACTAGAGAAAGCGATATACAGTCATACCTCAGGTTACAGATGCTTCAGGTTGCGCGTTTTCGGGTTACGGACACGCCGAAACCTGGAAGTACTGGAACGGGTTACTTCTGGGTTTCGGCGCTCACGCATGCACAGAATCACCAAATTACAACCCACGCGTGCGCAGACGCGACGCTGCAGGTTGCGGAAGCTGTGGGTTGCAAACGTGCCTCCCGCACGGATCACGTTTGCAACCCGTGTCCACTGTATGATGCATCTCTTTCTCTCTCCAAAGAGGACACAAAGTGTACCACAAAATAGTTAGCAGATCCACACTATGCAGAAAGCTGGAGTTTGGCGCAGTCCATAACATACCCCAATTGCTAGAAATCTTTAAAAATGGGATATTCGCATGTCTCATTCCTAAGCGGGTATTGGCTAAAATGGATCCTTTTGCTCCCATTTTGAAAAGATATCTATCTATATTCTGCATATAGATACTATATACCATAGTATACTATAATGTTTAAATGTTTATTTGATTGTCCTTGAATCTTCCTGCGTGATGCGCCACACCCTTTGAGAGAGATGGACAGCAAAGAGGAGAGGGCCTATTTTGTTGCTGTGCCGTTTATTCTATGCAGGTCTATCATATCTATTCAGCAAGAGAGACGCTTTCTTCACACTCTGTCTATCCTACTGAATTTGTTGGGTGTGTCTTTTGAAGACAGGGGTACTTACCTCCACCAAAGGTCATAAGCGGCTGTGCATAAGTACTTGGATCAAGGCCAAAGTGCATAAACATCCAGTTTCAAAGTTGCATTGGGATTCCCTTTCTGGTCAGGAAGGGGGATATCTATTAATCATGGCTTATCGGTCTCAATGCATTGTGAATTATACAACAAAGTGTCTTGAACAGCCGTTAGCAGCTCTTGTGCTGTTGTGCAGCAGAGCTTTCAAAGGAAAATATATTAGGTGAGAGATGCCATTCACAGGCAGAAGCAAAAACCCCCCTGTGAATTCAGGGAAGGCATGAAGACATGAACCCCGAAGTCTTCCAAAGCAAAATGTTATTTTAAAACAGAATCCTAATGTAGCTTAATCTTGTTACTGTAATACAAAATTGATGGGCGACTCTCTTCTTTAGGTCTGTAATTTTAGCCACAAGTGCTTAAGTTCCCAGTTTGCCCTCTCCCCAAGTTAGAAGACAGCTGTATAGAAAGTAGTTCAGTCAGTAGAGCATAAGACTATTAATCTCAGGTTGAAGCCCCACTTTGGGCAAAAGATTCCTGCATTGCTGGGGGTTAGACTAGATGATCCTTGTGGCCACTTCCAACTCTACAATTCTATGAACAGCATTTTTCTACATAGATGTCTTCTCAGTTTCTCTTGAATATGTTTATAGGTGTTTGATCTATAAAGGCTGTGCCCTAGAACAGTTGGGCGTGAAACTGACCAGAGGGAAAATGGCTCTGGAATTAATTTCAAGTGGTGCCCCAGAGCTGGAATAAGAAATGTGTTGCTGAACAAATAGAGAACAGTGATCATGGTGCCATCAAATTTAACATTGGTGGACAATTGCCAATTGTAAGGGGACAATTGCCAAGCATGTCCAGCATAATCACATTTGACTTCGAAAAGGGAAACTTCTAAAAAATGAGGGGACCATTAAAAAAGAATGTTGAAATGGAAAGTCAGGTGGGTCAAATCTCTTCAAAATGCTTTGGGTATTCAAAACCAAAGTGATAGACACTCCATTAGAATGCATGTCAACAGATCAGGAAAGGTACTTCCAAAGGCCGAGAGGATGCCAGCGTGGTTAAAGAGCAGAGTCAAGAAAGTTTTTGGAGGGAAGGCGGCTCTTTCAGAAAATAGAAGTCTTGCCCAAACAAGAACGAAAAGGAAGATACATTTTGGCAAAAGAAATGCAAGTAGATAATAAAGGTGGAAGGGTGTTAAGGAGCCTATCACTAAAAACATAAAGATCAACAATGGGAGAATGACATAGGCTATGAGATTAACCCCACTCAATGGACCAGAATGTGGTCTAAACC